TGCCTAGTAATTTCAGAATAGACAGGGAAGTGTTTGCCTTGTTTACTAGACAATATTTTAAGAAAATTATAAAGCCAAGTCCTGTTCAATCTGAATTCAAATATAAAAGTCAACACAAAATTTCGAAATAAGAATATATATTTAAGCTTGCACAGGAGTTCTGAAAGAGTTGACTGATGCCAGTTTGTGTTTCAGCTTCTTATTTTTCTTAAGTCTACATTGCAGATTAAAGTTCTGTTTTTTGTGATAAATTGTAATGCAAGCATAAACTATTTCTCTGAAGCATCGCAAACTTGCATCCATGAAATCTGTAGTATTATGAGTTGCCAAGCATTGGACTGTAAGGGTTCTGATGCAGATGGACATCTGTTTTACTTAAGGGGAACTTTTTCTTTTACCTAGCTCTGTATACCTAGCTCATTGGCTGAAGTCCCTTGGATTTTTAGGGGATGAAGTATTAATATGTCAGAAATGAGGTAATTTCAAATTGCCTTTAAGTGGTTGGTGGGGGCACAGCCAAATTCCGTTATCTATTTGTACTGCTCTCACTCTTTCTTCTTCTAAATATAAACGCAAGTACACATGTATCTATATACGTATTTCTTTATGTGCCCACCTACTTCATAGTATAATACTCATAATAGAGAACTTCTTAAAAAATAATAAACCTCATTTTAGCCACATGATCAATAGAGTAGCAATGCTTTGGAAGTGAAATAAGAAAACACTCTTTGTTGGGATTAGTGCTAAATTACGCTTTATAATGTCTCCTTGGACTAAACAATGATTATTTCTAATTCTTTACATTTCACACACTGTTGCAGAAATAATAAAATGTTCTTCCCAGATAGAGATTGTGTTCAATGCCGCCTTATCTCCTACCAGCAGAGGCCCGATTAACTGGCTGATTAGTATGCAGTTCATGCCATCACTAGTAAAATTTTATTATGACTCTGAAGTGAAATTTTGATGGCACAATTCATGACCGTGAATATTTTGTGAATTCCAAGTGAAATGAGCAAAACAAAACAAAACAATAGGAGATTAGATTCACTGAGCTTGTATAATAAACAGATATCAATAAATGCCTGTAAAATTTACAGGTTGAATCTGGGGGAATGGAGTGTGATCCCATTAAGGCTTCCAAATGGGCTTAAATGCACATAACTTTCATCCATCAGCATTATACTCATTTGTTCTTGCTGCTGTGGTCATTAGTGAGAAACATTCGTCTTTGTCATTTCTTAACAGCCTCTGGACTTTGAGACCAAAAAATCCTATACTCTGAAGGTAGAGGCAGCCAATGTCCATATTGACCCTCGTTTCAGCGGCAGGGGGCCCTTTAAAGATACGGCAACAGTCAAAATTGTGGTTGAGGATGCGGATGAGCCTCCTGTCTTCTCTTCACCGACTTACCTCCTTGAAGTTCATGAAAATGCTGCTCTAAATTCTGTGATTGGGCAAGTGACAGCTCGTGACCCTGATATCACTTCCAGTCCTATAAGGTATTTCTCTTTTAAAAGAAGTACTAACTACCACAAATAACAAGTAAAGAACTACAAAATGCAATTATGTATACATTTCTTGTGGCTGCCTTTGGGCACATGACTAAGGAATTTTGGTCAACACATGCTCTGTGTGTATGGGGTGGGGTGTGCATGTGTACATGTG